GGCCTTGCATGGTCCACTGTAACCACCATCACCCCGTCCTGATCTCACCTGCAGCGCCTCTGGACCACCACCACCATCACACCTGCTGCCACTGGCTGGCAACTGGCACTCTAAATTTCTGTCTAAACCAGCCATTTTGACTGCAGCTGTGCAAAATATCACTCAGGGAAATGGCCCCAGCGTGCTCACAGCTGGGCCAGGCTGCTCTGCCTCTCCAGTGAGATTGCTGATGTAGCTCAGTGCCAGGGAAGGACCCTGACAGCTCTCACACCATCTCCTCGAGGCTCCTGCAAATGCAACTTCCATCAAAAAACATGCATTTTTTTTGTGCACTTCTTCCATTTCACTCCAAAGCTCGGCATAACGAAAGTCAGCAAAAGCAAAGCATTAGGAGGGCTGCAAGGAATCTACCTATTTTCCACCTGAAAGTGCCATAATTACAGTAGCTAGGGAAGAGGTAGGATAAACTCTGGAGCAAACACAGGAGGTGCCAGGAAAGCCAGAACAGGGGGGGAAAAAATAAAATCAGTGTGTTTGCAAGGATCTGATTGTAGAACAGTACACAGAGCAGGACTGTGAGGGACTGTCACAAAGACTCTTCCACCCCTGAGCAGTCAAGCTGAGCTGTTCCAACCCTGTTCCAACCTCCCATTAGCCCCATCTGCACACACAGGAGAAAAGGATGGATCCTCAGCCCCCTTTCCTGCTCATGCCTGGCTCCCATAAATATGTCTATGTGGGATTTTTAAAATTCAATACAGCTACAAGGATGATGTTGTTCTCCAGCCTCTGCACAAAAAGAGGTTTGGCTGAGCTGGGGAATCCCACCTGCTCTGGAGAGTCACGTTCTTCAGGACACTGCTGCTGAAAAGCTGAATTCCTTGTCAAGTGGTGGTGCAGGAGCAACAGCCTTTGAGCAGAAAAGCCAATTGCAGCTCCTGTGAACTCACTGAGACCAACAGTTCTCCATCACCACCTCTGCATTTGTAGGAGGCCGCCTGGTACCTCTCCTGGGTGGAGGTTTGAGGAAAGGGCTGGTTGGGTAGAGCAGAAATTGCTTAATGGAACGAGAACAATTATGAATGGCACAAGCAGAGATAAAAAAAAAAAATGCATTCAGAATGTCTTTAATCATGTAACACTAAAACTTCTTTACAGTGTCATGGCAATCTACACTTCACCATCTGCTCAAATTTGGTTCTGCCCCCATTTCTCAAATGCAGAATAAAAATGACATTTTAAAACAGAACACATGGCTGTTTCTACAAGACTTCGCCGCTTCAAGTGAGTATTTTTGCTTGTTAGTCTTGTATAAACTTCTTAAATCAACATAATTCTTTCCGTAAGAATTGTAAAAGATAAAGCTCTCTCCTCCTTACCCTCAGACCTTCGTGACACGAGGTGTGCCTTCTGCTTCAGGATGGCAGCTTTTCCTCAAGGCTCAGTATGCACCCCAGAAATGGAAAGTTGGGAGTGTGTGTGGGGCGGGGAAAGATATAATGAGTTATTTTAGGAGTATCTGAGTGTCTTAAGGTTTAGAGGTTAGCTAGAAAGATTATATTCGGGGCAGAGGGATGCCACAAGCATCCACCGGGGCTTTGGAAGATACTCTCGCACTACATTATACACACGGAGGGGGATTTTGTTATGGACCATCAAAGAAACTGTTGCCACGAAAGACAGAAGAGACAATCTTGCCAGTGGAATTAATGGTGCCCTCGCTGTCCGAGCTGGACTCGGAATCGCTGCTTCCCGAGTAGGCGCCCAGGCCCGGCAGGATCCCGATGCACACGGCTGCGGAGGGACAGTGCACCGTGGAGCCTCCCACGGAGCTGCTCCCCAGGGGGACACAGGAGGGCTTTTCTGGAAGAGAGAGATCCCAGTCAAACACAGGGAGGGGGCCTTTCCATCAGCCAAGCGCGTCGCTCACCTGCTCGTGCCACGCAAGCAGCAGGTGATTGCGGGGTTTAATTAAAGCATAAGGCAGCTTTGTGCTGCAAGAAAGAGCCATTCTGACAGGAAGGACTTGCTACCTCAGGGGATTTTTCTTTTTTTTTCTCATCACTAGTTTAAGCCCAGCTCTACGCTGGCATTACAGGTTTTTTATTCTAAAGCTGTCAGTTTGATGCTTGTCAAGCAGCAAACCCACTAAATAAGAATAAATAGCTCTGCTTTGTGCAACTGAGTTGTTGGTTTGGTTTTTTTTCAATGTAACGGCATAGTTGAGGAAAAGTTTTATTCCATCGTTCTGCTAGTCAACATCTCCCATCTTCCATGGCTAATTAATTATTTCCACTGTTCTGAAAGTTTACTGAACAGAAGGAGATTCAGGAAGCGCCTTGGGTTGTCATTACACAATTGCAGCTCGCCCGATTTGTGTCAGAGTATCTTGACAGCAAGTCAACTGCAGCCCTGACAGCTAAGGCTGAAACACAGCTTAATTTTCCTTCTGGTTCCTCACAGTTTTCTGAAACAAACTGACTTCAGGATGGACAGAATCACTTCATAGCATGAAAAGCTGAAGTGGATGTACACAAACACAACCGGTGCTGCTGTGAAGAGGAAGGGGATGATCAGCTCTCCACGTCTCCTGCCAGCAGAATAAGCAATAGGCTTGAAATGCACCCAAGGAGACTCCCATTAGGTATCAGGTAAAACTCTTTCAGATTAAAATCAGTTAAGCATTAGAATAAACTCCCTAAGGAGGGCGCACAGTCTCTATCTGTGGAGACCTAAGAGCAGCTTAGACAAACATCTGTCAGGACCGGTCGAGGCAGGGAACCTGCAGCCCTTTTTCCTGTGAAGGCTGTTGGCACCTACAGTTATCATTTCTACTGCTCTAGGAGCGTCTGTGCTGTCCTGCACAACGAAGGAACACAAAAGCAGAACCAGGTTTTGCCCCAAGCCAGTTGCTGTTCGGTGACAGACACACAGCTTCCCACATACCTTGATTCTTTTCATCATGATCAGTGTCTAATTTCAACCTCTTCACACTGTTACCGCCATCTGAACTGTGGAAAAAAAATAAGAAAGTGTCTTGTTCCTCATAAGCAAGCACTTGATTACTCTGAAGTAATTGATACATCTTTGCCAAAAATGCTACAGTGAATGGCAGCCTGATGACCATCACCACTCCTGACTGCCCTTAATTGGGGCTCCCTGAGGAACGTGCAGGATCCAAGGAAGTGTCAACTCCTACACTGCTATCACCTGTTAACCTGGGAAACGGGAACACACGTCTGGGTATCCAAATCAAACCTCCTGCACAGCAACCCAGAGCTGCCTATCCAGTGGGATGTACCCCACAGGAGACTGGGAATGACTGCCTGAGCTTCAGATACCCCGCATGAGCACAGCCTGGCACATGGGGATGGTCACCACACTTGCTGGTGCAACATCTGTGGCTTTCCCCTTCCCCCTCCTACAGAGCCTGTTCTAAACCACCTCGAAATCTTGCCCCCAGTAAGAAGCCCCAGCAGGTTTTGCAGCAATTCACACACAGATGCAGCCATCTAGAAGAGAGTCCTTTCGGGGTCCAAAGTGGTGTTGGGGGAAAGGAGCACGGCCTGGACTTCTGACTCTTCAGAGCTTCTATAGCTGTGCCCTGTCACTGCTCTCAGATTCCAATCCTAAGCCATCCACATAAACAAATGCTTCCCAGCTTCAGCTGTGATGAACTGATGGAAGTATGAGCATTATTATGCATTAACTCTTTTCTGCCCCTCTCAGAACACGCAGTGCAGAGGAAAAAGGTTACTTTTAATAGCAATACATCTTTTGCAGGAAACTGCAAAGCTCAGGGAGCAGATGTTGAGCTCACACCACACTTGCTCTGGGCCACTTCGCAACAGAAGATAAGACGGCAAAAATAGAAGACTGCAAAGCAAGCCTGCGATGGCACTGACATGTCAGTTAAGATGCTCTCTTCAAAGAGATGCCATCTGCAGATTTCAGAAGTGCCATTAAGCACATGCCAGCTCCTCTTCTACATCCTACTGGGTTAAGTACTAATAGTTACAAGACAAAAAGAACACTGTTGGCTGCTTGTTGTCAGTTCAGGGTTTTTTCTTCTCTGCCTTCCGAAAACCCAAACTACCACCCAACCCCACACACGTTAAGTGGTGGAAGTGCTTACTTCAGTTTTCAGACATGCAATTACTGCTGTGCTGGGAGCTAAACATCACCCTACAAGATAAGCTTCTAAAATAACCTCGCACTCTCCGAGACGATCCGAACACACTGACTGAATCTGGAGATGTCAGTAATCATCTAAGTATTAGGTGATTCATCTCTGGGAAATCAGTCTGGTCCCACATGCCTAGTTTCTCCCTAACCTGTGGCACACCAGCAGCTGCGTTTGTGGGCCAAGATCAAAGGAGCAAGCACATCACAAACCCAGCTGCCATCTCCCTGGGATGGAAAGGGTGGTGATGTATCAGGGCAAATCACTGAGGAGCAAGGGAAGTTTGCCTGCTGTCCTCAGGACCAAACTGGTACATAGTAACCTTGCCTCCCACATTGCTGCCCCCCAGCAGCAATTATCAACGACCCATTTTAAGCACAGGTGAAACGGGCTGATCAATTATGCAAATCTGAATGAATTCACATGAGTCAGGTGACAATGACATCTACAAATAGAGATGTGAAACAGATTCCCTCCAGATCCCCAGGCAGGATTGCCCAAGCACTCCAGGATGAAGAGTCTACCCACTTGCTTTACACACACTTCTCTATTTGAATCGCTTCATGTTTTTCCCCACAGTTTGTGAGAGCCTATAGAAACAAGGCTGGTCTTTTCTTATACCTTCCCCCTTTTTTTCCTTCAGGGCTAAGGTTTACACCTCACTCTCTGGAGGCAGTTTTGGCCTGCCTCCCTTTCCACTGCTAACTGGGTTCCGTTCCTCAGGAATTTATAGAGGTGTGAAACGAACCTTCTGTGTTTCACAGCTCCTGCCAACAGCTTTGCCTGAGAGAATTTGTTCTTGTTTTCCACTGACTTCACGGGCAATTTCTTCTCAGTTTCCTTCTTTGGGTCCATACTGACTCCCACTTTGGTGAGAGTGCTGTGAATTAAGGGTTAAGGATCAACTGGAAGGAAAGGGGAGAACAGACACTTCCTCTCGGGTATATTTAGCCAGCTCTGCTGACAGCAGCGGCCCAAGTTCATTCACGTATTCCATCAAAATAAACTTATTTGTAATGACATTTAGCTGGCACCCTCAGCCAAATCAGAACAGACTTTCACCCTCTGGGGTCAGAGCTCCCTCAGGTATCAGTACCAGCTCTCCCTGTGAAGACATCCAGGAGCTGCTGTTCTGAAGCCAGAAAGGTGCAGCACACGACACCCAGCACCCACCAACACACCCATCGTGCTGCCTTTACCTAAGGGCCTTAGAAAAGCAAAAAGGTCAGGCTTGGACCAAAACAAACAAGCAAACAAACAGGCAATGCAGTGCTTCCCCTTCCACGGGGGTCAACACATTTGTGATTCGTATTTGCTGCTCCAAACCCTAATCCTTATCAAAACGATTAAGTAGCAATACGTGTGCTCCCTTCCACTCCCAAACCTTCCTTTTGCTGAGCCCAGCAGATTTCAGCCTAGCAAGGCAAAACAGTTCCATTTTCAGCCTTGGCACTTATCACTGCCTTTTCAGCTCCTCTCTCTGTAAGGACCACAGGGCTGTTCCCGCTGGTCTGAGCACCAACCCCAAGAGGAAGCAGACAGACTGATTAAGGGCGAATGTGGTCCAAGACTCACCCAAAAAACCTGCGACTGCACAGAAAAAACTAAGCAGCTTAAAGCAGTGTCAGCAAGGTGGGATGCAGCTGAAACCCATAATGAGGTGGAGAAGCTTAATCAGGTTCTCAGACAGGATAAGGAGGAGCTGGGTCGATGTGTTATCAAGGCTGAAGAGAGGTCTGTCCAAGACGCTGCTTGTAGATGAGGTGCCATGGGAGCCACACGAGCTTCTGCAAAACTTACAAACTGCACACAGCAAAGGCAAATTACCCTAATTTTAAATTGTGTTTATAAACTCACATCTAGCTTTCTAGCAGTTTCTCTGACCACAGTTGCACGGCTGGAGTTTCACAGGTACCCCGGTCACTGCAGACAAACACTGGACAGTGAATTTCATGCTGATGGACCGTACAGTTTGAAGCCACAGCTTTTTTCCACCCCCACTGAACACCTGCAAGTCAAACTCTTACACTTTGGTTTGCAGTGACACACTCAGTGTCCAATCACTTTACAGTCAGGAGCCTTCAGATGCCATTCCTTATTAGATTTTCCTAAGGATACACCAGTAACCCAGACTGCTTCTTGCCCCAACTGAGTCTCCTCAGCCCAAACCACTGTTCAATTTTATTCATTTTTAAGATGGCACAGGAGTGCCATCCTGTGGCTATCCAGAGCCATCTGAAAGCTCGTTGTGTTGAACAGTTTGATGTTGCAACACACGACTCCTTCCACCCACTGCAGTGTTCAACTCCCACACTCCGGTCCATCACCTCGTTATGTTCCAAGACTGCACTACAAAAGCCCAGCTGAGGAACCCGAAGGCTTCTTCTCTTTTAAAGGATATCAAATTACAGGCTTTTCACTTCCATCCAGGATGGCATTTCCCTGAAAAACTCCTTTAACTAGAAGGGCACAGCACATTTTTAGTAGATATTTTGTACGTCGCTGCTGCCATTAGCAAATGTAACACTACACCCAGCCAAGAAGTGTTCCCTCTCAGGAAGACAACATCAGAAATAAACCTCTCAATCTAAATATCAACTGCATCAAACAAGCTGTCCCACAGTAAAACCTGCTTCTTGGAAGGGGGGGACTGTTCCTACACATACATAGGTGTGAAGACCAGAGGATGTTCTTCTCCAACACTTCTTGGATCTGGCTTCCAAAAAATATCTGCAAATCTTTAATCACTGTCAGACAAGTGGGGTCTGGATGGGTTAAGGAGCGAACACACCTAGCAATTCATGCAGGAGGAAGTAAAATTCCTATTCATCCATGCATATGAATTTCTTATGCTTATGACTGCATTAAAGTATGGTTATCCTGAAGATAGACGATTTCATGATTGCTCAACCAACAAAAAAAAAAAAGAAGCAAAAAGAAAAAAAACCCCAACCCTGTACTTGAATATTTATGTAGGTTTTACCATGAAATTAATGCCTCTGGGTAGCTTAAGCTGGATGCTACACCAGGAAAAAAAGCAAATAATCAAACCCATTGGGTTGACAATCCTCCTGTGAGTTTGGAGGAGCACTTTAGGAGCACCTCTAGGTGCAGCACATTTGCCTAATGCCCACTTTTTGTCACTGTGGCAATAAACCATCAGTAACAACCCGCAGATGCAAAAAAAAAACCCCACCTTTTGCACTTTTAGAAGAAAGCCACCAAAAATTTGCAACGCTGACAAGCCATTCTGCAAGCTGAGACCGCTTGAAATATTATTTAAAAACTGCATAAAGGAAACGGAATGGTCACCACGAGATGAGGTCCCATTATTAGGTCCAACAAACCAAGAAAATACTCCAAATCCATCAACCAGCTGCAGCCTGTTTCTGAATTAAAAAAAAAAATTGCATTGGTAATGCTTTTTCCTGAGCTACTTTAGATGCTCTTCACGGTACTCACGCTCCAGGTTGTAAATCATTGACTAACACAAGGTAAGGCTGATCTTTGTAGCATCAGTACTAACCAGTTTTATGTGCTGACTGGTTTTGGTCACCTCCTTGTGTCCACAAAGTCTTTCTTTTGTACTAAAACATCCTTGAGAACTTGTGCTCTGTTTACTGATGACTTAACAGCAGTGGAGACAAAGAAACCTCAAAAAAGCAACATTTCACTTAGCACAGAAATCCTCAGATCATTCCATCCTCCCTTGACTGGCACTAATTAGAGAGAAAAAACATCCTATATTATTTTCTAGCACATCTTCAAGAAAACTTGGCATTTAACAGCAAAGCCAAGCTGTCCTGCTCTCAGTACTGCCTACAAGTGTGGATTACCCAAAGGAGCCAAGTCTCCATGGGCACTGACTTCCCAGAAGAAAGTCAGTGCATTGGCACAGATGTATTTAATTTCTCATCCTGCAGATATCAGCAAGGGAAAAAAAAGTATCTAATACTTCAAGAAGAGAAACAAGAGAGAGCAATTCAAACATCCTTTCAAACAGGTGTGTTAAAACCAGGCAATGTGCAGGTAAAAAAAAAAAAAAATTAAAAGAGAGTATTTATGTTTCAGTAAGAAGACAAAAGCAGAAGATTAGAAGTAATAGGATGTTTTTCCTAGGTCACCACCAGCCACTTTAATGCAAAGGATATTCTGTACTCGTTAAGTTCCTTCAGCTCCTCTTCCCTTCGCTGCTTTTCCAGCAGCTCCTGCTGCCGAGAAACCTCGTCGAGGAAATGCGTCTCGTCTTCATCTAAGCCTCTTACCATATTTTCTGAATAAAGAAAAGAACGCATATTGATAAGCTACAACCACTTAGGAAGCAGGCAATTATTGTGTGTTACTTAGAACGTTTCCCAGCGAGTGCAAACAGCCCCGTAAATGCAGGGAAGTGTCCGAGTCTCACGTACAACATTCCCAGTAAGGTGGGACAGTTTGGAGCGCAGGGAGCAGAGTCCTGGGGGTGAGCGAGTGAACTGGGTACTCCAGCAAGGGCACAAAGCAAACTCCACCAGCCCTCTGCTTGATTCTGCAGTTAAAGGAGTAAAAACACTTCCCAGTTAATCATCCTGGATGCCAGCAAGGCCAAAAAACTCTCACACGCCCAAGCACACAAACTGCAACCAACTCAGTTCGAACACAAACAACGCTACTGCCACAGAGACAAGCCAAACAATCCCCAGGGAGCCGGGAAATGCTGTTGGACTTGCCGATATAATTAAGGAAAATTGACCAAGTTTTCAGACAGGCAGTTCTGAAACACCACTTGGAACAGCTTACACAAAACAAGGAATCACCACAACAAGCAGTGATTTGGTTTCAGACACCAAGTTCAAGCCTCTCTCCTCAGGATCTGTTCCTAAACCAACCAATAACTGGAAGAAATCACCTCACTTCTCCCCATAAATCTGGCTTCAAAATAGGAAGTGCATTTTCTAAAGCAAACAATTAGTTACTGAATTGATATTAACATCTGTTTAAAGAAATAATTTTTTAAAAAGTAGAAGCAAGACAACTCCTAAATCCCAAATACAAATAAACTCTTTCTAAACAGGCTACCCCACTTTAAGGAAAGTACAGGCTAGTGCAGCCTTGATCAAATTATTTAGTTAAAAAGGTAATAAAAAATACTTTTTAGAAAAAAACAAGTCTTGCTGTTTGTAGTGATCCTCAGAAAAATCTTAGCCCAAACATCACCTTTAGTCTTCATTAAAGCTTAATTCTGTGGGAGGATTTTTAGGCTTTTACATGAGGTCACCATATTTTTTTTTTCCATCTTCACCCACACAGTCAAGCCCTATTTGTTTTAATGGCAAACTCAGAAGCCCATTTACACTCACAATTGGCAAGCTTCTGCCTTTGACAGAAAAGCTTCAGAAATCAATTATTATTTGAGATTACTTTTATAAAGGCTGATCCCTACTCCTTCCAACTCATGCAGGGCTCATTCATAAATCTTTAAACAGTAACTTGTAGCACTCGCTGCCACTGCTGAGAGCCCCTTCAGAGAGCAAAAGCAGTGAAAGTCAGGACACTTTTTGAAGCAAACGACACGAATTAATTTAATTTTCTGCCTGTCTCATCTGCAAACTAAGAGGAGGGCTTGCTACCTGTCCCAGGATTTGGTTCACTGAAGCAAAGGGAAGATGATGCAGATCTAACACAACTGGGCAAGGGAAATTATTACTTTTGAATTAGAAGCCCTTCCCATCCAGGCTGACAGCAGGCAGTTTTCGGGTGGCTCCTGGGGCAAGAACTGCTTAGTCACATCACCAAAGGTGACTGGGGTCAAAAGTTGACTGAAGTAAACTGGAAACTCTCCAGCTGGAAAGAATCCTGTAGGTCCAGTTGAGACTCTAAGGCGTTAATTGTAGAGATAATGACATTATCTGCACTTGCCACTTTTCACCACCGAAAATAAGTGGAACTCAAGAGACCGAAAATAACTTTCACTTGTCCTTATTTTGGTTGCCATAATCGTGCAGAAAGAAAATTTTTGAAGTTCCATTTTGAGGGAACACCAGGATCATTTTCTCATTTAAAATGCTCTACCAGTCTACCAGAATTACTTTGCTTTGAAAAGGAAGACATTCTTGCAATGCTGAACAGCCAAGAAGAAAGAACTGCTCCTCTGTAAACCAGTTTTTATCTACATAAAAGTTTTAGGGTAAGTTTGTGTGTCAAAGCAAACACAATTCTTCAGCGTGAGGGTTTCTCCTCCCAAGTCCCATCATCAGTTCTGACTGATAAGAATGACAGTGCACTAAAAACTCGTTTTCTACTCCTCAAAAATTCCCACAGAGAGAAAAAAAAATACTTATGAACATTATAAGGCAAATTCAAGCACTTTAAAAGACAAATCTTGTCACAAGCATCAGCTGCAAACCAAGAATGGCAACCAGGGTAATCAGTGATGCACTCAACAGCATCTGCAGGGGCAGCCTCTAACAGAACCCAAAGACTGTGCCACGGTTTTATTCCACCACAAATACACAAAAAATTCTAGACAGAATCCAGGGAGGCAAAGTGGAGCTTGAAGAACAAACAGCTTGAGGGTAAGGCTTCCAGCTAAAGAATCAAAATCAACCAGAACCCACCTTAAAATGGAGTCCCCCAGTATCATCCTCACTTCTCTTTATTTACAGCCAATAGCTCCCTTTTTTTCCCAAAAAGGTTGACTAATAATTTTCTAGTTCTCATTATCATCTTTGCATTCAGCAGCACATACACAGATGATACAATGCAAAGGATTTTTCTATAAAATCAGAAAGTCAAACATCAGTAGAAATTAAGTTCCCATTTCATCAGAACAGTTAAACATCCTACTTTTTGAAGAATCAACACCTGAAAGTTTACTTCTTCCAAATAATAATAATAATCTTAAGTCTCAAATAATTACAAATTACAGCTTGGAAATGTAACAGCTGCTGTAACAGGATTTCTGTCATTGACTGAAGCAGAATGGTCTTGTGTTAAAACACAAGTTCAAGAGTCACAAAACCACTTTACACTTTCAGTTCTCCATGGATCACTGTCAGATTTTTGGTTTTGTGGGTGTTTTTTTATTTAATGTGAAATACAAGCCTAGCATTCCACACTTTACAGGAATGCAGCTTCTTAACTGCAAACAACTTTTGAGTTTTGCCTCGGTGCCCAGAGCAGCACATTCCTTCTAAAATCCAAGATTTTGATAACTCTTCTGAAGCCTCTGCTTCCCTCCCAGAGAGGCAGACAGGACACAGGGACACGCCCCTCTCTTGTGTGCAGCTGTTGCATTCAACACTTTCATTTTTGCTGCTGGTTCTTACTGAATTTGAATTGCTCCTCAAACTCCTGCTGCTTCTTTTCCCTCTGCTCCTGGAGCCTCTCGTACAGCGAGCGTGGGTCGTAGGCCTCCTCTGGGCACTCTGCAGGGAACAAACCACACGTCAGGAACACCAAAACCCTCTGAAATGACAGAATACCAGCCACTGCCTTGCATTGCTGCTTTCCACCAGGGTGAAATCCTCTCAAAAGCCTGTCCCCCTACCTTTTGGATCCTCAGGTTTCCGGACCTTCTCCCATTCCTCTTGCCTCCTCTTCCGTCGCTCCTCGAGCTCCGACTCGGACACGAACCTCTTGTTGATCACCAGGTCGGCAGTGCCATCTCCCCCATCCATTGTGGGATATAGTCTATCCTAAAAACACAACGGGAAAGATATCAGGGGGTTGATTATCCTTATCAGTGACTGAAACGTCACTGAACATCCAGAAAAACAGCCCCTGCTGCTCATATTCCTCGATCATCTGAAGCTGTCCACTTAGAGAGGAAACAAAAGGTTCCAAGGTGACAAAAGGTGACAGAAAGTCATAAATACAGACTGAAGGAGAGGGATTCTTCAAGGGCACAGCATCCTCTGGGGACTAAAGCCTTCAGCAGCAAACCACTCGCCTTCTGGATCAGCCAGGTCACTCAGAGAACGTACTTTAAGATACACAAAGTGGATTAAGGTTTAATTACGACCCGACACTACAATCCTGAAAACTGGTGTCTGATTCAGCAAATAACAACTTCAGTGACAACCACATCCTGGGGCACAAAAATGTGTGTGTGGGAGGGGAAAATAACACCAAGCAGCATCACAGTGAAGTTCACTTGCAGTTATAAAGTTTGCTAATCTTGCTGTTTCCTTTTCCCTCTCTGGTCTGAAACAAACGCACACAAGATCCCCCAGACCTGACAAAACCCGTGTTTATCTATAGTTTTGCCTGGTGACTGTATTCTAGGGCTGTGTGGTCACTGCAAACGACACAAGTTTATGTCACAGCTGTAAAGTGCAGCTGTTGATAATACCAGATGACAACATCCCCAGGATCAAAAAAACACCCCCAAACCTCGCAGCCCTTGCCATCACCCAGGCTGGGACAGACCTGGAGCAGATACCCTACCTTGAGTACCAACGTGCAGCTTCTAATATATTTAACAACAAAGATCACTTCACCTACCCCTTCAATCAGCTCCGCGCCCCCGCAGCACATCAAACCACGAGCCCGGAGCCGCCGGGGACGAGTCGCTCCCCACCAGCCCCAACCTGCCCCCGGGCCCCGCGGAGCTCGGCGCGGGGAACTGAGCGCGGGGGACCCTCCCAGAGCCGCTCCGAGCCCTCCCTTCGCCCCCTCCCCACAGCCCCTCGCCCCGGCCCGCCGCGCTCGCAGGGCCCGGGCCCGGCCCTGACCACCCCGGTACCCGCAGTGCCCCGCGGCCCGCACATGGCCGCTCTCCCCGCCTCGTCCCGTCCCCGCGGGCCGCGCCTGCCCCGTCCCCGCGGGCCGCGCCTGCCCCGTCCCCGCCGCCCCCGGCACGTACCGGGTCCCTCAGAGCGAGCGGCTCGGCCGGGCCCCCAGCGCCGCCATCGACCCCGCTCCCCTCGGCCGCGCGCCCCGCCCCTTCCGCCCGCCGCGCCAACCGCGCGCGCGGCTCCCCGGCCGGCCCCGCCCCACGAGGCAGCCAATCCGCGCCGCCCCTCACGGCGGGGGGCGGGGCCGGGCTGCGAGCGTCAGGGCGGCCCCGCGCCGCCATTGGGCGAGGCCCTCGCGGCCGGGGCGGGGCCCGGGGGCGGGGAGGGGCGGGTCGCCCGGGAGACGGCGGGGGAGGCGTGGCCGATGTGCGAAGGGGCGGGGCCCGGGGCGCGGGGCGGGGCCGCGCCGTGAGGAGTCGCCTCCATCTTTCGGCACAAAGGAGCGGCGGCGCCGCCGGGCCGGGCCGGGGGGCGCGGGGCTCAGGCGGGGGCTGCGGGGGCCCCGCGGCGCTCCCGGCGGCACCGCGGGCAGGTGAGGCGGAGCGGGTGGTGTGGCGGTGGGGCTCAGCGCGCAGCGCGCTGAGGGGAAGCGGCAGCGCCGGGCGGGCGGGCAGGCAGGGCGCGGGGTGGCCCCGCTGGCGGCCCCGGTGCCGCCGTGGGTTGGTGATGAGGGGCGAGGGAGGGCACCGTGCTCGCCGCACCCCTCACTCCCCTCTCCCCCGGGGGTCGCCGAGGCTGGTCCCGGGTGGGGTGGGGTCCGGGCCATCGCAGCTACCGGCCCGGGGCGGCGGCCCGGGGGTCCCGGCGGTGCTGCTGGTGGGTGCCGGTGCCCCCCGCACCCTCGCTGGGGTCACCGGTTATCCCCCGGGCAGGGCAGCCAGCGGGGACAGGCGGGGGGCTCTCGTCCCTGGGCTCTCCCGGAGGCCGCGGGGCTGGGCAGAGCTGGAGTTGGGAGCCAGCTGAAGAAAGCGGGAAGGGCTGAACGAAGCCGGGGCCGGGAGGGGCTGGGACTCCCTAAGGGCGCCTCCCGGGTGCCGGGAGAGCTCCCGGGGGGGCTCATATGACTTGCAAAACAGGGACTTGGCTCTACGGCGGTTCTGGTGTGCGAGGGGCACCGCCATCGGACCGAGGAGCTCGGGGAGCTCCTGGCAGGGTTTTGTGGATATCGTTGTGTTAATGTGACAAGTCAGAACGGTGAAAAGGGTTCATCGCTCTCGGCGTGAGAATGTTTCTGCAGAGCAGGTTTCCTCTCTTTACAGAGGAGATGGGGAGGTGTGGAGTGAGCCACCAAATGCACTCCTTTATCTGGACCTTTTGTCTTGGCATTCTTGGGCGGTAGATTTGGCCGAGGCACCTTTGCCACCGGTGGTGACACCAGGGCTCTGCTCTCACAGTTCAGTGCTTATAAAGCAGGTCTTTTCACTGCTTGTGTGATGCCCATAACGAGCATGAACTTCTCTTTTAAGGCCTTTGATTTTGTCCTTCTGATCACTGTTTCTATCTTGCATATCTTCATTTACCCCCTTTTTTTAGAAACTACTGTTTCTTCTCCTCTGTTAAGTAGCAATAAGTACACTGTCCCTTCTGGGCAGAGCCTTAATGTAGCTCCTGAGAATGGCTGTAGTCGTATTTTTCATTTTCTGTTTCGTTATTGCAAAATCTCTTCCCCGAGCCCAGAGTTCATTTTGGTGCTCACCCTGCATTTATCAGCTTTTCTCACACAGTGGAACTTTGGTCCGTGTTAAAGCGCAGACATAAGAGCTGCCTTTTCTCTCCTAAATTTATTCAGCCTTGTAGATACTGCTCAGTTTTTTGAATGCTGATGTGTTTGAGGTTTTTTTTTTTCCTTTTATCTCTGTGACAGTGTTTGTTTTCTTCAATATAAGAAGGGTTTTTTTTTTCACTTAGCTCTAACTTTGCCTCAGGTCTTCAGCTTTTCTGTCCTGTATCTTGCAGTAAATGCATGTATTATTTCTTACTACTGCAATCCTTGCTGTTTTCCAGTTAAACTGCACAAATATTTAAAAACCAGTGGATGTTCTCATCACCTATGAGCCATCTGAAATATTCCTTTGCATCTCGTGTCCCCTGGCACTCCTGTGTTTGACCCTGGATTTCCGGAGGACTCAAAACTCGCCCTGTTATTTTAAGAGTCTCCGATGCTGCTCAGTGTGGGTTTTGTTTTGCATTTACCCAAATGCAAAGAATTGATCTGTTCTGTGATCTAAATCGGGCCCATTCTTCTGTGAGCGCTTTCGCCTGTGCCTTTGTTCTCTGCCGAGGTCCACTCAGCAAAAGAGATCCTTTCTCCTCCTGGCACCCGTTCCTCCGTCCCTTCCTTTAGGACATCGCTGTTATTGCTTTGTGCCCCCATCTCTGCTATTTGTTCCCATTTCTTGTTGTGCTTGCACAGACTGGATTTCTCCTGGGGTGTTCTTTTCCTGGTGGGTGAAGCACAATTGTAGCTACACCATCGCTCCTCGTCTCCCCTTCTCATCCAGAGAAGTGAGGTTCCTGCTCACAGAAAGTTTTCAGCACCTTGTGTAGGAAGCTCCTCCAGGGTATTTTGGGGCTGTGTCTTTCTTTCTGCACTACTCTTGACACAACCCTTGCTGATTGTTTATTAGCTTAGCCTTGGTTATTTACCCACTCCTGGGTTGCTGATAGACCTAATTCACCCGGTCCACACACCTCACTTATCTTCAGCTCTGATACTGCTGTGTGCTTGTGGGCAGGTGGGGCTCTTGGTTTCCTTGAGGTCTTTTAACTTTCCTTTTCATTTACTTTCAGCCTCCTACATGTGGAGTTTTTACTCATGGTAGCCACTCTTTTATCCTACTCATCTGGCCTCACAATTCAGTGATCACTCAGTGTCTCCCTTATTCTCACTGTTACCTTATTTTGTGCTTTTCTTAATGCGCTTTTTTTTTTTTTTTCCTCTTAGAGGGATGTGATTGTTCCCTGCACAACCCTGCAGTGCTCTCCCTTGGTACCTTCCCAGTGTTTTCACATAGAAGGTTTTGGCTCTCAGCATGTTTCATGTGCTGCGAGCCTTAATGGACAGGCTGAAATAGATCACTTAGAATTTTGGTTCCCTCCTGCAAAGTAAGACATCTCTCATATTCTGCCTGTCAGGTGGAATCAAAGTCTATTTTTCTCAGGCTTTTTGCTTGTCTGTTAAAATTAAGGAACAAGAGGAAGACACTTAGTAGCATAAACAGCAAGTTCATGGTAACGGCAGCAATTTGTGGAAGGCTTGCTGGGCTGTAACTCTTTAGGCTTCTTCCATCAGTTTTTATATCATTATCTCCCCCAGCTGACTGTGTGCTGTGTTGGTCACTTACCTGTGTGGTGGGATCCTCACAAAGTGGAGGAAGGCTCACCATATGCCCTGTTTGGTTTCCCTCCTGATGCAGAGGCAGCAAAATAAAATGCTGTTCCCTTAGTAGGAAATGGAGGGCAAGCTCGTGTCATGACACTTGTCCTGTCCTGCTCCATTATCAATGTGTTGTGTCAGCATTTTGAACTGGGTGTTTTTTTGTGTTTTCTTCCTTTGTATTTATTCCTTGCTTTAAAGCAGTGCAGGCAGAGTTGCTGTGCTGGGATTCCTTGTCTTTCAAGCACCTCATTAGGATCGTGTCGTGTCACTTTGTGGTTTGTGTTTCCCCGTGTCCTGACAATGTATTTTGTTTTCCTGGTTTATATGCGGGGACTGGGAAGTTGGCGCTGCAGGGCAGTGGCTGTGCCAGCACGATCTTTATTTCCTCTTCTATTCTTCATTATGTCACTGAGGTCTAATAAAATCAGATTTTCACGCGTGACTCAGAAGGTTGTGCGACTGACCGGTGCGTCACGGTCTGTCCTCAGCAGTGCTCGTAATCACCTGCCCTTCATCTCCCACCGCTGTGGCCAAACTGGTGCTTTAGGAGCACAACTTTGCCGTGGGAACTCCCTTTCTCAGGCTCTTCTTGCTTTGGGAAACGCTTCCCTTTCGCTGTGTCTGAATGCCTTGGTGTTTTGCTGGACACGAGGAGGAGGACGAGAGTCGAGGACATTTTGATCTGAAGTGCTGGCGTGGATTTCCAGCTCCAGGGCATGTGCACAAACTGATACTGTGACAGCTTGAACCACAGGTTAGAGGGCAGCCAGTGAACTGGGTGCCAGGAGGCTGCACCATTCTCATGTGTCTTATACCTTCCTGTAGACAGAGGGACATGCTAGAAAATTATATTTAAAAAGAAGAAAACCTGGCAACCTGCCGATGCTCTTTTCTGTTTCTCTAAAGGCAAAGCTGTCTGGTGGTGTGGAGACGGCTTAGAATTGTTCCCTGCTTTTAAAAAGGTTCACCTAATGGTGAAAGAAGAGTGGTTTTTGTGTGTGTTTGCACTCAAACCCTGGTCAGTGTATCAGTTTTGGAGTGAAAGATTAAAAAAAAAATTGAGCAGATGAGCTGTTCTCTCTTTAGAGCCTCACCCCTTTGTAACATTAGTGGTGTCTAAATGTAATTATCAAAACAATTCAATTAAATTCTCCTGAAATTCCTCAGAAGGTTGTTTAGGAGAAGCCCCCGGTGACAGCGAGTTCATGTTCCTGGTGTTACTACAGGTTTTTGAAAGCTTTTAGAATTGTTTTTGAGCTTTCTGCTTTTTTTTTTTTTTTTAAACCAAAATGCTACACACTCTTGTTTAAATCATTTTTAATCTGTCCTGCAGAACACCCACACACACACACTCATCTTCCTCCCACTTCCTAACCCACCTGCGCTTGTCCGAGCAGTCAGGCCCCTTCCCCTTCTTGGCCACAGGAGTGTTGACCAACTTCCTCTGAGCTCCCTTGTGCTGAGGGAGGTTTTAAAGCATTATTGAGAGAACACCACAGCTCAGTGGTTGCAGCAGGATGCCTGTGAGACCTGGCTGAAGCACTTGTGTGACACGCGGCTGGCTAATGCACGTGGGGATCTCTCCTGCAGCCTGCTTTCCTGGCAGGCTTTGCAGCAAGGCAGGGAGAAAAAAAGATCCTCAAGGTAGAACCTGAAGGGGTACATGGTGAAGAAATGAAGCTGAGGGGGTTTTGTTGTTTTTTAAATAGGTGAGAACAGGGGGTTCTGTCTGTCAGGATCTGTAGACTTGAGTTGTGGGAGCCCCAGACAGATCTGGAATCACCCTTCCCCTGAGTGCTTCTGAGGCAGGTTTGCTAACCTAGTGACCTACATGCTGTACTGGACTCAGATGACAGTCTCTGGAGCAGCTGTCACTGTATCCACTCACAGGAGCAAAGAGAATCAGAGGGATGTCTCCTGCTCTGCCAGCACAGTCTGGCAAAGACCTACCAGCTTTCTGCAGTGGCCAAGGAAGCCACAGAGGAACCTCTCAGTTCTGCCCACTGAGAGATCAGGCCGTCCTCTGATGCTGCTTGAATTATCAAGAAATTGAACTTTCTTCAGGCTGTTTCCTGCTGCTGTTGGTCTTCCACATTTGAGGTGATAGCCCGTGTCATAAAGGCGTAAATTTGGCAGGGATGAGAACAGGAGGG